GTCTGTCTATCTATCTGTCTGTCTGTCTGTCTGTCTGTCTGTCTGTCTAGATCCTGTTGTTTGTTCACCTTAAAAAAGTAAATGTAATGTTTTAAATAATAGGCCTAATAACAGGCTAATTGTATTTAGCTCAATTTATTCAAAACAGAAAAATACAGTCTGTTGTTATTTATAAAAAGGACATTTAAAAAAGGCTTGCCATTTTCTCAAGAAGGATAAAAAGATTTGCATGCAACTGCATTGCTGCAATTTTACAAAACATGCATAAAATACAACTCACTCACACAGACACACACACACACACACACACACACACACACCATCTGGGACGAACACACACTGCCATCATGTCTGCCGTCCTCCTCTCTTGCCCAGTCATACTGCCCTGCAAAAGCTTCAAATTTTTTGACAGATCCGATATGCTTATTAAAGCTAAGGCAAAATGGTTAGCACTTTACCCAAACATTACTTTTTTTAATGTATGGACTGTGCCAAATAAATTTTTATAACATTATTCTCCACTATTACCCTTGTAATAAGTGTCTTAACTGATGAAGGCACGGTTTGATCTTCGGCTGACCAATCAGCAGAAACGGGCCTTTAATTCCCGCCCACGTGTAGAAATCGAATATTTAAGCTGTTTATTCATTTTTCCACCCATGAACGAAAAACGACAATTTAAGCTGAATTCTCGTTTTTCGTTTTTTGGGAAAAAAACAAAAAAAAGGTATAAGGAAAGTAGTGAGGAGGGAGGTTGTCAAACTCCAGGTTAAGAGAGAGTGATAACCAATTTTAACTGAAATCGAATGACCCGGACTGCCTCTGTCATATTCACTGCATGTAGGACACGACCTCAGGCCTTAAAGTCCTCACCCTTGCTGACCTCTCAACAGAGCCGGCGCCAGCGCAGCACTGATGAGGGGGCGGCTGAGGTAACGAAAGGGGGCGATGACGTAGCACAAAGTAAAAAAACTAAACAAAAAACATATGTGGCCCATTCACGTATTTGTCGGACCGTAACCAACCCTGCCGGCTACTATTAGAATACAGGGTTCACACAGATAGTGCTTTGGTCGCGAGACAGGTCAGTGGAAGTTTTTTTTTTTTAAAACAGCAAGGTCTAGAGACTTGTTTTTTGAAGCTGAATTTCTTTAAACTTGAGCGCCGTGTTTTAGATTGATGTATGCTATAGCCTACTGCAGTGGCGTAGCAAGTCAGCCCCGGGCCCATATGCAAAAAATTTTATTGGGCCCCCCCAAACGTTATTGGCTCCAAGTCGGTTAACTTATTGTTGATTTTTCTGAAGTGATTAACGTTAGGTGTATTCACAAGCTGTTTTATTTACGGTATAAATGCTTGGAAATAATATTTAACGTCCATTCATCATTTGTAGCACGCAAGCCACCCAATAATCGCAATAAGCTTTGTGCTTTGTTACTTATATTAAAACACAAAGTGTCACCCTTCTGTCAATTTTATAATAAAATACTAGGCTACAAACAATAAATATGTTTTTACGCTTCTAAATTTGTGGTGAGATATATTCGTATTATATTCGTATTATATCCTATATTCGTCTCAGTTCAAGCAGCATGTGAATCAATGACATTTTCATCTTTAATATTTGCAGCACGAAATAAACATGAATAAATATTTGAATGCATGTTGAAAAAATCTGAACAATTTAATACAAACGAATGTTTCATGAAATCGATCAATTAGAGTTTAAAAAAACGTCAGTGAGCCTACCTTTTATTGCTGTTTTTTATGTTAAATGTGAAAAATGACAGGCTGGATGCAACAGACTTTTTATTTTTATTTATTTATTTATTTTACCTTTAAAAAACAACAACTTGAATTTAACAAACATAAAATGTTCCAAACATATTTCTAAATTAACTTAATAAAGAAACGAAAAGAAATATAACCACTTCGCCATTAAAAATCAAAACTGGACTAGCCTATTTGCTGCAACAGCAGCTGTGTAAAGGGGAAGAAAGAGAGAGAGAGAGAAAAAAAGACAAGGGCTCGGGTCAGACTCAGGCCGAGAATATTCTGATAAGTTGTCGGAAGGGCCAGGCCCGTGCAGGGCTCTATTCATTCCCTCGTTTCAATTAAAGGTTCTCCCTCGGCTCAGCGGGCCCATATGCACCTGCATACCCTGCATACAAGACGCTAAGCCCCTGACCTACAGTCAGCGCTCTGGGTAAATACATCCACATCCCCGCTCTTCAAAACAGAGAAGTGGAAAATCAGAATAATGAGTAATTTTGTATGTTAGTTCAAAAATCAGATTCGGGCGCAACAATCCAAAGTTGAAAAATTGAAAATTAAAATGAGAGACAATTATCCGTTTGTAAATTGCTCCAAAAAAATTGAAAATGAAAGTTTGAAGCCAACTTTTCATTTGGTTCATTTTGATGGTGCGAACTGAACAAAGAACTGCAAAGGGTTACACGGACCATTAGGCCATAGTTCAATTATAGGACATTTAAGTAATTTTTATAATCGTGCCTTAGAAAAAACATTACTGGTGTCCATCTTGAGACAAAACAAAGGCATTGATGTATTTTAAGATCAGTCAGTGCCAGTTTCTTTCAGTTGAAACAGCTCAGACTTATATTTTAGTCTGGGACTATAGGCTTAAGCCTTGTCTGTGAAACCGGGGGTATATGTATAACCTTAAATTTAAACCCAGCTGCAAAATGTTAGCTTCTGATCTACATTCATTATTGTCATCACTTCCAAAAGTCTCCTCCAATAAAAAAGCTCTGAAGACATCTCGTATTATAGAACAATTTATTTAAAAATGTAGATTTTTAAATAAATTGTAATTTTTTATTTATTTTAGTTTTATTTTATTTCCTTTTCTCTCTCCTCTGTATTCCCCCATATGTTCTTTGTTCTGTGTTATTTGTTTCCTTTGTATTGAACTATAATTCTGCAATAAAAAAAAAAAAAGATCCGATATGAATTTTCACACAGAATCTTCTGAATCATTTCTCTGAATCTGGTCACAGTGAAGTCAAACCCATCTATGACAGGACTGATCATAAGACCTGCTTTCAGTCGTAACTTAATTTTGACCAAATATATAACTGCTTTTTGCCTTTGTGTTATTGACTCATTGTTTACATGCATTCATGATGTACTGTCAAAATCATTACCGTCAGCCCATTTGTTCCATGATCTGTCTCAGCAATGGCCGTGTTTAATTGACGTAATACACAATGTATGTGTGTGTGTGTGTGTGTGTGTGTGTGTGTGTGCATGTTTATGTGGTGTATGAGGACACAAATTTGTATAATGACATGGGTATGACATAGGTATTACAACATGAAGGTGATTTATGAGGACACTTTCTGTGTCCCTGTAATTCAAAAGGCTTATAAATTTTTTGTTTTTTGAAAATCTAAAAATGCAGAAAGTGTCCTGTAAGGGGTATTACGCCTGGGATGTCCCCACTTTTCACAAAAACAAACCTGAGTGTGTGTGTGTGTGTGTGTGTGTGTGTGTGCCATGCAGCAGCTGGGAAACGTAAGCAAGGTTTCTAATTGCTGCCATTAGCAGAACGCATCAGCGACGAGTCTATTCAGTGTAATGGATGTGTGTTTCACAGCTGGGAGTCTGTAATGATGAAGTGTGTAACCATATGACAGAGAATGGTGAATTTAATTTGGGTGAAACAAACCCCAGCCTTAAAGGGATAGTGTCACCATTTACTCACCCTCTGGCTGTTCTTCTTCTGATGAACACAAAAGAAGATATTTTGTTAACGAATAGTTTCTGGTCCCCATTTACTTCCATTCATTTTTTCCATACTATGGAAGTCAATGGGGGCCATCAAATGTTTGCTTACCAACATTCTTTAAAATATCTTCTTCTGTGCTCAGCAGACGACAGAAACTCATACAGGTTTGGAACGAACTGAGGGTGAGTAAATGATGACAGAGTTTTCATTGGGTTTTTAAGTATTGTAACTCATCCTGCACTGTTTCTGCTACAAACATGAACGGTTCCTCAAATAGTGCTCTTCTGAGCAATTCACATCAGATCACAGCAACACCCTGGGTTATGTGTCACTACCGTTTGAAAGTTTAAAAAACAGTAACATTGTGAAATATTTGTTTTTCTGCTTTCAATGTGAATATACAGTACGTTAGAATTAATTTATTGCTGTGATGCGCAGCTGTATTTTCAGCATCACTACTCCAGTCTTCAGTGTCACATGATCTTCAGAAATCATTCTAATATGCTGATTTGCTGCTCAAGAAACATTTCTGATTATTATCCACGTTGAAAACTGTTGTGCTGCCCAATATTTTGTGTAAACCGAGATGCATTTTATTTTTCAGGATTCACAGATGAATAAAAAGTTTAAAAAAGAACTGCATTTATTTGAAATAGAAATCTTTTGTAACATAACTGTGTTTACTGTCAATTTTGATTAATGTAAAGCATCCTTGCTAAATGAAAGTATCGATTTCTTTAAAAAAAATCTCACTGACCCCACAGTAGAGTATTTTTACTTTATGTCTGTATACATGTGTGTCTGTGTGATCTTCTTCTCTCTTGGTTTTCTGCATTCTGCAGTTAGTTTGCTGCTATTTGTGGCTGAACTGAACGACGCCTTTCTGATGGGAGGAATAAAAAAAAAGCTGATTTGAGTGTCCGGCAGGCAGGAAGAGGACTGCATGACTGTGGCATCCGTGCAGAATCAGAGCGAGAGCTGTAGAGAAGAACAGAGACGAGAGTCACATGAGCAGCGAGCTCTGATTGAGT